CCCCTACAAAGGCCCCTACTCCTACAAAGGCCCCTACCCCTACAAAGGTCACTGCCCCTACAAAGGCCCCTACTCCTACAAAGGCCCCTACCCCTACAAAGGTCACTGCCCCTACAAAGGCCCCTACTCCTACAAAGGCCCCTACCCCTACAAAGGTCACTGCCCCTACAAGGCCACTAACCCGCTCCCATTTCAGTTATCCAAGGCAGGGTATCACAGTCTGGCTGACCTGGTCCCCCCAGACGGTGCTTATCTTTAACAACAGGGGCCTGGAGGTCACAAGGGCCTCTTCAGGACAATGCCCTGAAGAGGTCGGGGCCACAGTGACCTCTATCAGACCCCAAGTCCCCTCACAACACTGTGTACAGGAAGTGATAGAGCCTCAATGCCAAGACAGCTGTGAATCACTAAGACCCTGGCAGAAGAGAAACCTCAAAAAGAAATGTCGCATTCCGGGAAGACAGGGGGCCTCCCATACCCAGCCTTGGGGGCCAGTTCCCACTTCTCCATTCTCTGGCAACAGAATAAACTCGGGTTCTCTTTGCTTTTCAACCCTGATTGGTTACTTAGAGCAACAGGGTGAAGTGACCCAACAGTCTTTGTTTAGGGAGTCTCTCCTGAGAAGGGGACATACACTGGGAACTTTTCTTCCTCACCCCTTTGGGGTGCCCTCAGCCTCAGCCTGGGGACTTCTGTGTATCCTGGGAGGGGCACATTTTCCACATTCTCTGGTGTCACTTGCCAGCAAACTTTCCAGGTACCCTCACTCAGATGACTTGTATGTGTATATCATTTATGCTCATGCTGGTCCCTGCAGCCCTGGGCAGTGGGGCCAGGATGGCCTGCCCTCTGCATAGAAAATGGAGCACAGCCGAACATCCAGGAGCCAGGGCCAGACACAGTGGAGATCAGTGATGGACAGGAACCCACCTTAACCAGGACTGTTTAGCTGGGCATAACTCTTGCCCTCTACTTAAACCTAAACTGTATGTCAGGAATCCAAAGATGGGTGTGGGAGAGTCATTGTATCTCTCTCTTTGTATATATATATATATATGTGTGTGTGTGTGTGTGTGTGTGTGTGTGTGTGTGTGTGTATGAGTGTGTGTATATGAGTGTGAGTGTGTGCATGTGTATGAGTGTGTGTATGAATGTGAGAGTATGTATGAGTGTGTGTATGAGTGTGCATGTGTATGAGTATGTGTGTATGAGTGTGAGAGTATTATGTGTGTATAAGTGTGAGAGTATGCATGAGTGTGAGTGTGTATATGTGTGTATGTAAGTGTGCATGTGTATGAATGTGTGTATGAGTGTGAGAGTATTATGAGTGTGTGTATATGTGTGCATGTGTATGAGTGTGTGTGTATGAGTGTGAGAGTATGTATGAGTGTGTGTGTGTGTGTCTGAGTGTGTGCGTATGTGTGTGTGTGTGTGTGAGTGTGAGTGTGTGGTGGTGCATGGGTCACAGGGAGGCATATGAAGATGAGAGAACAGCTTTGGCAGTCAGCTTCCTCCTGTCAGCTTCCTCCATCTGTCAGCTGGGTTCTGGGGATCACTCAGTCTGTCAGCTGGGTTCTGGCATCGCTCAATCTGTCAGCTGGGTTCTGGGGATCACTCAGTCTGTCAGCTGGGTTCTGGGGATCACTCAGTCTGTCAGCTGGGTTCCAGGATCGCTCAGTCTGTCAACTGGGTTCTGGGGATCGCTCAGTATGTCTGGTTTGTGTGGCAGGCTCTGTCTACACTGAGCCGCTTTGTTGGTTCACACTGGGCCTTTTACTTGTCCCTCTGCCCAATGTGGCCACACTGAGTCAACCTTTCTCTGAAATTCTCTTGGAGGCTGGGCCACTAAGCCTGACTTGTGACTGCTGTGGTTCAGGCTCCAGCGCTTCAGGCTGTCCTGACTCCAGGAATAGGCAGCGTGGGGAGATGGAGAGAGGCAGAGCCTGAGGAGCTGGACCACAGCCTCTACACACTACGCTTCCCATGAGACCCAAGTCTGGACACCTGAGGCGCCCACCTCATGACATTTCCAGGCAGAGCCCTCGGCAACGGTCAACACAGACAAGAGAAGAACATTCCCCTGACACTTTATTGTTCACAAAGCAAGTGGAGGGAGGAAAGGACACAATCGTGTTTGTGTAGGGAAGGAAGGGGTGTGAAGGTGTGAGGGCCCCCATTCCATCGCTTTCCGTTTAGAATCTCACACCCTGACACAGCTGACACATCAAGGAGCTAAGGCTGAGCTCTCAGAGAAGCACAGCGAGTACACGGGGACGTCACCTTCAGGCTGCCCAGTAGGAGGGGTCTGAGAGGGTTATCAGGGTCCTCTGCTCACAGTAACGATGTCCTGTGCTAAGAGTGTTGCAGGATGAGGGTGGCTGTTACCTACAGGACAACCTCTGACCCTGACTCTGCTGCCTTTGACAGCAGAGAACAGTGAGGACCCTGGAGAGAAGGCTGCTGCACACCTACTGGGAGCCAGCAAGAAATGCAGGGGACAACATGGAGGGGGTCTCTAGTCAGGTGCAGGCCTGTTGGAGTCAGAGCCCTTCCTCAGCCACTGCTAGGAGGGGAGACCTGGCAGCTTGTGAAGGCAGAGGCAAAGGATCCAGAGACTGTGGCTATGAGGACGATTACCTCACTACAGGGAGTAGCCGTGGATACTCCACCTTCACTGTGTGGTAAGGTTTGGTGACTGCTCTATAAGAAATTACCTTAATAAAATCAGACTCCTCCCTGGGGCCGTGGGGAGCAGTAGTCCCAGGCTACAGTGGCTTCAGCAGTGTGGGTGGGTGTGCCCCAGGGGCAGGGCCCTCGCCCAGCCATGTAAACACTTATTTTCTAAGGGTCTGCAGAGTGTGGCACACTAGGGTCATATAGGAGGAAGAGAGGGGTGCCTTGTGCTCCCAGGGTGAGACCAGGACTCAACATACCTGGTTGTCACAGATGTGCACTGGCCAGAGAACTCATGGAAAGGCCCGAGAGGCCAGGAAAGCGATTGGGGGGGGGGGGCGGTTTGGAGGCTTGACTAGATCCTGCAGCAGTGACCAATCCCTACCACAAGGAGGCAGTGCAGAGTGAGGCATGGGTGGGCAGAGGACCTGCTGGTCCTGTACAGAACCCTTGCCTGCCCTTTCTCCTGGCTTCCGGAGGCTGTGTCACATGACCTAGGACTCAGTTCCTGATTCTGGAAATCTCTATCCAGGCACACAATTCAGTTAAAAAAAAGAAAACAGCAGACAAATGCAGACAAGACGAAGTGCGTTCTTCTGGTTTTTATAAAACTGGAGTCCTGGTGCAGCTCAGGCCATCTGCCCTTGTCTTGCTGGGCACAGGAACTTACTCATCTAGATGAATTCTATCCCTTCATATTTGACACTGCCGATCTTAGTCTCTGGAAGCAGGAAGCGGCCATCTAGGGTGAAGGCCATGATGTAGGTGGCAATCCTGCCACTGTCCTCTTCGGACTTGAGAGCCACGATGATCTGGTCGTCAGTGTTAGGGATGAACTTGAAAGATGAGAAGCCGTGAGTAGGGACCAGCGTCCCCACACGGCTCACAGAGATGTCCTTGAAGTCCTGGGCTGCACTCAGCAGGAGGTTGCTGCCCTTGCGCTCATCCGCCTTCTCGCTGTAGCGCTCATGGCTGGCCCGTCGTGGCAGGAAGAACCAACGCTGCAGCGTGTCACTCCAGCAGGCAGATTCATGAATGAGGTAGCCTGGGGTCACAGCACAGCCCTTCTCAGGAGTCTTGCCACCCCAGAGGTTGCACTTGAGGGGCCTCCTCCACCCTTCCCCTAATCTCCAGCTGCTCTTGATTAGCTAGGACAACCATGCAGACATGGCACGGCCACAGAGCCTTACACTGAGTCCGCAGGGCCTCATTCCCCCACCAGCTGTCCTCACGTCCCCACAGGGGCCTGTAGGCTTCACCAGCTGTCTTTTATTTTGTTCCCTTGTTGCTAATCTCAGGGCACACAGAGACGGTCAAAGAGTCAAAAGGGGAAATCCAGCAAGCAGAGCCCAAAGCTGAGGCAGGGAAGTGCCATTCTACCCACCCCAGCATGGAAGAGTTCTCTGGGTCTTGGCTCCCTGTTGCACTGTGCCCCACACCTGCTCAGCCTCCTTCAGATAAAGGTCACACTCCTCAGAGCCCAGGGGAAGACAGCTCAGGTCTTACCCATCTCCTCCTCTGCTTGTGAGAGCTGTGACCCCAGCCATTAGGGCCCCAAACTAAGATCACTTTTTGTGGACAAGGGGTCTTTAGTGTGCAGCGGGCAGAGGCCATCTGTTGAGGCTAGTGAGGGACAGAAACAAATGGCTTTTTTGTCTCAGACTCCACCTACACGAGGAGAGTGACCTTTGGATACAGAGAATGAAATCAACAACCCCGAGCAAGCTGTGGAATCTGTACACTTGGGAGCTCGTAGAGAGAAGCCTCTTACCTGGAGGATGGATCCCAGCGGCAGCTCTCAGAGCATTGTAGCTGGACACCCAGTTCTCGTGGTCCACGTTGCCCCTGTGGCCTACCACCTTCACCCACTCAGGGTTCTCGTTCATCACCTCCCCTGTGGTGGTGGTCCACTCCTTGCCCAGGCCACCCACATACAGGTGCTCGTCCTTCACGGCAAGCCACTCAGCTTTGAAGCCTAGGGCAATGAGAGGGGTGAGCCTGAGACCCTGGTCTCCATGCCCCATACCTAGCCTGAGACCCTGGTCTCCATGCCCCATACCTAGCCTGAGACCCTGGGACCCACACCCCATGCCCAGCCTGGCTAGCCTGGGGCAATAAGAGAGGGGTGAGCCTGAGACCCTGGGATCCACACCCCATGCCCAGCCTGGCTCTGGCCTGTGCTGCTGTCATTTGCATACAGAGTGGTGCCAAGCCTCTTGGATGTCCCAAGTTACCACACTCGAGGTTCCCTGGAGGCTGGGATGAGAGGCCCAGAAGGGAGCCTGGCAGAGCCCCGTGCTGGGTCAGAGTCCACACCCTCTTCTTTTTACCCCTTTCTTCCAAGGAGCCCGTCTCCTGTGCAACAACTCTAGAAGGCACTGGACCATTCCCAGACCAGCTGTGCTAGATCCCCCACCCTCCAAGGGCCAGCAACCCCATCCCATGTCCTGTGTGACACCAGCACCTCAGGAGCCTTGCGTGCTACAGCAATCTGAGCTTTCCAATGCTCTGTGGGTGCCAGTTACCTGCCACTAAGGGCCACAGTTGACAGCTCAGCACAGGCCTAGCACTGCCTGCCTCTCAGCTGCCAGGGCTTTAGACCACCACCGTGTGGGTCTGCTCTTCCCTTAGCTGGGGCAGAATGTAGAGTGACAGGGTCTTTAGGACTGGGCAGCGATCATCTGACTGACTTCCCACAGGCCTCTTGGTCAAGCTGGCAATGAGGCCTGTGCTGTCCCAGCACACTCTCCTTCCTGACATTCCAACACACTAGCTCTCCAACACTCCTGCAAGCTCCAGAGCCACTGGGAAGCCAGGGCTGCACCTGCCTCCCCACTGTAGGAGGGTGGAGGACTCTGAGACACCCTGCAGCCCCAGTGACATCATGAGTTTTCTGAGCTGCCTCTGTGAGATGCTGCCCTTCTGGATCAACAGTCACAGCTCAGCCCTAAGCAGCCCTATTACCCTGCACCCTTCCCCCGCAGGGGACGAATCACTCCACACCACACAGGTTTACAACCATGAAGGTCATGGGCAGGAAACGAATGAGCAACAACATCACTGACACCTGGGTGGAGACAGCCCCTCCCCTCCTCTCCCGAGGGCCCCAGCCTTGGACAAACACTAGAGATTTTATCACCCAGGCAGGGCCTGGCATGCTGAGCCAAGGGACAAGGAACACAGCCCTTCTTCCACCAGAAGAAGTCTGCTTTGGTCTCCAGCTTGCTGGAGGGGCAGATCAGATTGGCTGAGGTGAGGCAGCTCTGTCTCCTACCCTGTGGGAACAGCGGCTCCTATCTGCTACACATGGGGCTACCATCAGAGTCTATTCCCAGGGTCATTGCTGCTCAACACAGAGACCCTTGTACTGAGCTCTGGGCAGGGCTGGGAGGCAGCAGTTGACCTGTGGCCCCAATAAACTGAGATTAGAGCCTAGGATCGCGGCGAACCACTAAGCACCCTGCTTTGAGGGTGAGCCACATGGTGGGAGCAATACCGTGTGATCCTAAGATGGCTCTGAAGACACACACAACAAGGACCAGGGTCCCAGAAGGGGTAAGGGAGGCAAGAGACATAGCCTTGGCTCATTCTGAAAAGGGCTTCCCATCAGCAGCAGGCTCCCAGTGACCAGTTCCAACTTCTACAAACAGCTTCATATCAGCCCGGTGAGGCTCTAAGAATGGGTGTGTCAGTTGGAGCTGAATGAAGTATCACCTTCCTGGTGTGTGTGCACAGGGAGAGGGGGGGATGACGATTACTTTCTGTGGTTGATGGGATTCACGGTCACCATGGAAACAAACTTCTGGGCAGGTAGGTGAGGAGTTTCTACATTGGGCTAACCAAGGCAGGAAAACTCTCCCTAATGGAGGTGGCACCGTCCCATGGGTTGGGGTCCCAGACTAAATGAGAAAGCGAGCTGGGCGCTGGTGTCCATCCCCCTGCTTCCTGACGGTGGGTACCATGAGACCAGCCACCTCGCACTCCTGTTGCTATGAGGGACTGCGCCTCACACTGGGAGTTGGGGTTCACCTGCCCGGCCAGGAGCTTTGTTGCAGCATGAGAAACTGACAGTGGACAAAAGCTCAGCCCACAGAGAAGGCCCCACTTACCCTTCTCCACGGTCCCGTCGCCGTCGGAAAGGATCACCCAGGGCACTGCTTTGGTGCCTTCGATCTGGTAGATGATCCCTGTGCGGTCGTCCACGGAGTACAGTTTCCCATTGAAGACGATCAGGTCAGAGAGCTCCATGCCCCGGCCCTTTTCTGCCAAGTGGGTCTCCAGGACTCCATGGTCTTTATCCCACTCCACTGTCACCTTATCCCCACTGTCCGACAGTGTCAGGTATCCTTTCTTAAGATAACTAAACCAAGTGTTTTCCTCCTGGGCCCTGGACTCTGTGTCCAAGTCGGCAATGACTGCGATTCGGTACCGAATCCCACCTGGAGTCCTCTGGGGGGGTGACAGGGGATAGGTGTCATTGTAGTGAGAGACATGCTCCAGGCTGACTCTCCGGCTGTATGCATTGTGGGTAGGGGACCTGGGGGCCTGATGATGGGAGTACAGCAGCCAGAGGAGGGCAGCACCCGCGAAGGATGTCAGGATCACCCTCCAGCGGGGGCGGAAGCGAGGGTCCGTGGCCTTGGTCATGGATGCCAGCACAGGAAGGCCCCCTACACTGATCCGGAGGGAGTGCATAGGCTCATTCCATTCCCGGTGGTCAAAGGGCTGGATGGGCATCAGACTGCACGCTGGGCAGGACCTAAATCGAGGAGAGGAGAGCAGCCAGTGAGCCCTGGGGGGCATGACCTCTCCAGTCCTGAGTCCAACAGGCTGAAGTCAGCCCCATCCAGCAGAAACAGTGCTTCATGGCAGTAGTGTCCTGGCTGAACCCTGACCCCAGCAGGGAGGCCAGCTGTTCTTTTTAGCAGGATGGTGAGTGTTTCCAAAGCAATAAAGCAGAGGGGAAGTATGTGTGAGCATTAGTGCCTGTGGGCCGGCAGAAGCCTCCTCTCCTGAAGTCGTCTCCAACCACCCCACTCCCAGGCATATCAACACTCACTGCTGCCCAGCCTAGTGCCCCAGCAGTGCGTCCCACCTAGCAGACTGGGGCCCTGAGCCTTTACTTCCTGGGCAGGTTCCATAAAGTTTTTGTGCTGTCTCTTGTCACTTTTCTATTAACACAAGCAGGTACAGGGACTTAGTCTAGCATGCTGCTCACCTGATGACCTAAGGCACAGTTTTGGCCCCAGGCCCAAGCTGGGCTCTATACTATGGCACAGCTACAGGCTCCGAGCATTGGAGGAAGCTGGGAATTCTATCTCTTCGCAACAGCCTGCTGGGACCGCTCCTGGCAGACCACAAGTCCCCAAGCCAGTGCCGGCTGTGGTGGAGAGGTGACTGCCTCCTGCCCAGAAGCTACAGCTGCTGCTGCTCTCAGCTCCTTAGTCCTTGGTCTGATGGTTGTGGGCACCAGTGTACTCCGTCACAAGGTTCTCGTGCCCGGGGACTAGGGAGGTGCTCTCTCTCCATGCTGCAGGCTCATGGGGCACTGGTTCATGGACGAGCTCAGGTTGTGGTACCCAGGGTCAGGCCCAAGGAGAACAGTGGGTGCAGGGCCTGCTGCTCACAGCAAGGGCAGGAAAAGGCTCAGTGCCCTCTGGGGGCTGTTGTGCCACGGCCACCTTGCAAGAGCTATCTTTTAGCAACAGTTAAAGAACTGGTCGCTCCAAAATGTTCCCCACCCCATGCTGGTGGTGCCTCCTTGGAACTCACTCAGGCTCTACCTCACACCATGGCTTCAGAGGCGAGACCCAGGATATCAGAGGTATATCCATATCCCGGACATGGTGCTGAGTTCTGCCAAGTGTCAAATACTGCCACGTTCTAATTCCCATTTGCACCTTAGACACTATTTCAAAATACAAGTCTGAGTTCTATAGCCTCAAGACAATTAACCCAGTCCTCCTCAGGAATGGCTGATGCCACCCCAAACACCACCACCAAATCAAAATTCTCACAGAACCCAAAGAAAAGGTGCAGTTTTGGTGTGAGTGTTATGCTTCAAACTCCTGCAGTGCCAAGAAGTGGCCTCAATGCTTCCTTTGCCTTCCATAACCCTCCCCAGTGGCAGGTGTCTTCCATCCAAAGCCTGTCTGACTCAGGAGACATCGACACAGCTGCCACTCACCCGCCATGCCAACTGGCTCCCCAGTTCCTCTGCAGCCTCTCTTCTCCTGAGAGCCCTTTGCCACCCAGCGGCCAGTGTGACTTGCTACACAATCTTTAATGGCTCCCTGGTCCTCCCTGACCCTCTTGTCCTAACCACTAACCACGAGGGCCCCCATTTCCAGGGCAAACCTCACCATTCCCCTGCCCAGGACACCTGCCCTGCTCTGCATGGCTGCTTCACTCACACCCTCAAGGGTCCTGGGAGACTCCCCACATCTACTCTCCCTCTGTTGGGAACTTTACAGGATCAGGGCTTCCTGCTCCGTCTCTGGCACCCAGCTCAGAGCTAGCAGCCAGGAGAAAATCAGCACAAATCTTCTGAAGGGTGGAAAGAGCAGCACCATGGTGAGCATTCCTTTAGTCATTCTGAAAGTACACAGCTCTAGATCAAGGCCCTGATGAACAAAGCCACTCGGCTGCCAAACATGAGCCGCAGGCCCAGCAGACACAATCGCTATGAGAGTACCACACACTCTGCGACATCATCATCCTTAGTCTCTGGGACCCTCAAACATGTCCCCACTCAACACACTTTGCATTCCTGTGTCACCGCAGCTCCACACCCCCACAGCTCCACACCCCCACAGCTCCACACCCCCACAGCTTCACTGTTCTGCCCACATCACCAGCCCACCCGCTCCAAAACGCTCCTGTAGCAGCAGAGATAAGATGCAGCCTGTATGCCCACACCTCTCTTCAGGGAAAGGGACCCTGTGGGCTAGCCCAATGGGCAGACACCCTTGTTTTGCAGACATCCTGTCCACCTGGCTGGTGGACATGTGTGCTCCTGGACTGTCCGCTCAGGGACACAGAGCACTCAGCGTGCTACATGAACAGAGGACCTGCAAGTCCATGTAGAACCAGGCCTCTCCACCCCGTCAGCACCACACAACATGCGCTTTCCTCCAGCTGGCAGCCCTGGGCCCAGGTCCGCATTCCTGAGCCACCTCTGCCTCTCCAGACACTGTCCTCCTAGAGTCAGGGAGACGTCTACGCTGTGTCTCTGCAGTATCAAGCAGGCTTCTTGGCAGAACTCTTATGCTTGCTAAGGGCTGCCCCGCCCCCAGGACCACCCCAAGAGCAGCTGCACTCTTCTCTTCCCCACACACCCAGGCAGGCACCAGTCCGGCTTGTTCCCATCTCCACAGCCTTGGGCCTGGTCCTGTCTCACCCGGACTTCGGACCTAATGCTCCAGACCTTCAAGGTCCAGACACTTCAGACAAGGACTTCCCTTTTGTGGGTCTCAGCATCCTTCCTGGACCTGCTGACAATGAAGCCAGATGCAGAGGGAGAGAGGCCTGCCTGTTAGCTCTTCTTCTTCACCTGTCACGGCCTGCAGAGAGCCTCCCTCAGCTTTTCAGCCCAGCCTCCCATGAACCCTAGCTTCAGACAAGAGCAGCTCTGCAAATCCAGCATCCATGTGCCCAGACCACGACCATGTGCTCCCTCCATCTGGCATGCTAGTCTCCTCTGACTACACAGGGCCACCTGGAACCACCTGAAAGTGCCGGAGTGGTCATGCTTTCACTGCGCTGCGCTGTGCTCTCTGGCAGGGAGGGATGTGCAGAGAGAAGGCCACGTGACCACAGAGGCCGAGGCTCCGAGTCAGCTGCTTTTTCACTGGTGTCCTTGGACCCTGGTTGCTTAGTGCCTAAGACTGACTTGGGTCTTGTGGCTGTAGATGCTGACAGGACCACAAGACAGGAGCCAATGGATGCAAGGGACAAGATGGACAACAGTCCCAGGGAAGGACAGATTTGCTTGCCTCCTCCTGGCCCCCCATAGGAACCCTGAGGTCATTATGGGGTCTGCATGGCTGTGACAAGGAGTTTGTCCCCCTTGCCTGCAACATGACATATTCTGACTTGAGTGCTGTAAAGTTAGATCCTTCCAGGCCAGCTAAGGGCACTGGCCCGTGGCCTGCAGACAGGCCCTCCCCCAGACTCAGAGGCACCCCGCTGCCGCTCTTTGGCTTGAGCCAACCCTTTGCCCACGTAACATGTCTGGAAAGAGACATCAGAATGCCCAGCACCCAGAGGTCTCCTTTCCTCCCCACCCTCTTATGCAGTGGGCGTTGAAGAGCTAACTACCCTCAGATATAGAACAGCAAGGCCATACCTCACTTCCTCATTAGGTACACACACATCTGTCTGTCCACTCCAAAGTACATTTCTAGATGAGTAAGGAATAAGCAACAAGCCACAGAGGGAGTGTTTTTCTCTGTGCACCCAGGAGATGCCAAGGCTGTTGGCCTGTTGGGAAGAGCATGGGCAGAGGGCACCTACCTCCATGGACACCCTTAGGTCTGTACAGCACACTGTGTGCGGAACCTCAGCCAAGGTGGCCTGCCTCCCTCCTGCTTCCTTCACAAGTGGCCTGTGTGTGTGTAACAGATGCAGCTCAAACAGGTTTAAGGTGGCTGCCAAGGCTGACTCCTCCCCTCCAGGATCAAGGAAGGGCCGTTCTTAGTGTGACTCTCTTGCCCTTCTCCTCGCTCCTGCAGAAAGGGCTCCCCCACTCCTTCCACAGCAGAGAGGGGACAGGCCTTATTTGTCTATTCAATTTGAAGCTCACTTTCTTACCACATGATACAACACAAAGCCCCTGACCAGCACAAACACCCAGGGCTTCCCGGCAGCTTCGGATGGCAGGACCCTAGGAAACACGCACTGGTGTACAGCCACAGCTTAGACACTGGGCCGTGGAGGCTGGCTCCTTGTTTTGTGTTGTGCCAAGCTCAGCATCGTACCCAAGAGTTCCATTCTCAATTCAGAGCAGGTGAAATGTGTGTTCTAGGACTAAGGAGGCCACTCAGTTCCTTCTCAGAGGCTAAGTGTGCGATCTCTGATATCTGCAGCCCTTCCCCCAGTGTCATGTATACAAAGGCAGTGGTCAGCGCTCTCCTCACTCAACCTCTGTACCTCCGGGCTGGTTTATTTTTCAGCCTGTTTTTAAGTCAACTACTCAGGAGGGGTGTGGTGATATTTTTTTGTTTGTGATCTAATATATAAAGTTTGCCTGAACATCAGAGTGCTGAACTAGCCACTAGTTAGCCATTGAGGCCAGACAGTGGTAGCACACACCTTTAATCCCAGCACTCGGGAGACAGAGACAGGTGGATCTCTGTGAGTTCAAGGCCACCCTGGGCTACATGAGATTGATCAATCTAAAAGAGAAACAGAGCCAGGTGGTGGTGGTGGCTCACACCTTTAATCCCAGTACTTGGGGGTCACACTCCTTTAATCCCAGCACCAGGGTGGTGGAGACAGGAGTGATATGGCTGGGCAAAAAGAGGAATATAGGGCAGGAGGAGATAGGAGCTCATGGCCTTCAGTCTGAGATTCATAAAGACAGGTCTGCCTCTTTGGTCTGAGGATTCAGTAGAGGTAAGAGATCTCCCTTGTGCCTGGCTCCTTTGCTTCTCTGACCTTTCAGCATTTACCCCAATATCTGACTCCGGTTTTTATTCTTAAGACCTAGTAGAACTCGAGCTACAAAGGGGTGTGTTGGTTTTACTGGGGCTGTAACTAAATACTGCACACATGGCGGCTGAGCCATCACACACCATTAATGCCCAGGCCTGCAGAAGTTTGGATTGGCCTCACTGGGCTACACCCAAAGGTCGGTTCCTTTCCCAGACTCTCAAGAAAGATCCACATCCTGGCCTTTGCCAGCACCTGAAGGCTGACCTCACTCCCTGCCTGTGGTCCCTTCCTCCCTGTTTAGAGCCAGCAATACTGACACCACTGGTGGCTTCTTGCAGCCTTTCCCTCTTGCTGTCCTGCCTCCCTCTTATAGTTTTAAGGGTCCTGAGGTCACATTTCCGTTGGAGAAAACAAACCTCCATGGCTGCAGTTGAGGCTTTTAGTCTTAATTCCCTTTCTTATTCAGTGTAGCACATTCACAGGCTGGAGGTGGACACAGAGGGGGAACCACAGGTAGGGTAAACATGGCGGCCTTGAGACTCATCACGGTTTACACGAGGCCTTTCCTGGGGGGGCAGAGAAGTTTCAGAGCCCTCCCTGATTGGCATCCGTGGCATCACAACACCGCAGCGTCTGCTTAATCTGTATCCCCATTGTCCTGGAAGGAATCCTAGCAGACACCCCAAACACTGGATGCCAGGATGCCTGAGACCAGGGGTGACAATCTCAGTCCAGCTCAGACTAGCACCCGACTCCAGGGTGCACAGCTGCACCCTGCTGCACAACCTACATTGTCCCGAGCTTCCCTCAGTGCCAGCTCCTGGGACAGGATCCTAGGGCCATTCCGATGGGTCCCATCTCAGGCTCACCTGTACCTCACTGCTCAGGTGCTCACTCTTAATGAACTGGAGCAGACTTGAGCTTCTAGATTTACTGTGGTCCTGCCCACGCTGGACACAGGTGAAGCACTTAAGGGCTGTACTCACTGAAGAGAAACGAGGATTCAAGAGAAACGTCCACCAATAGGAACCCTAATGCCTCTCCATGCAGACTTATTAATAGTAAGTATCCATGCACGGTTATTATTTTTTTCCTAGCCAATCTATCTTGATAAAAAGGAAAAAGAAATTATTTAAGCTCAGTATACAGGGTTTTAATTCCTTCAATGCTGGTGTTTTAGACAAGCTTTCCAGGAGTTCTCAACACTCACTGGCTTCCGATAGGTGTCCTCATGCCGCTCTACAGAGTGTGGATGATAGCTCCACTGTCATCCGAGAGCACACGCCACCACACTGGATCACCTACCTGTACTGCCACCCTGAAGACAGCCACACTGCCTCGAAGGACGTTCTGAGATGACCGGGTCACGAGTGTCTGTTGGAGTTTCACGGGCACACATGCCACATTCAGGTGGAGGGGTGAAGATGGGACACCTGCCTCCACCACTCTCCAGACCTTTCTTCCTGTCCCCTCTGCTCTGCAGGCGCAGTAGATGGAGTCTGCTGTTGGGCAGGTTGGTGAAAATGGTCTCAAGAACCAACAGCTTAAACCAATGCCTCCGTAGAGCTGCTGTAAGCTGTGGAAGCAAAGTCACAACTGTAAAGGGAAGGACACTTAGCTGGCTCTATGTGACACAAATCCCTTGTCTTATTCAGAAAGAACTAGGCTGGATCCTCCAATGTGCCTTCCACAGGCCTCGGGGAAACACAGAAGACGGAGGTCACCAGGGAGGGCCTGCTGGGCTCACAGGTCCTAGCAGGACTGCTACACTCAATTCTGGGGAGCAGCTGAAAGAAGGGCCTGTGGCACAGAGGAAGATGGTCCTCAGTCAAGCTCCACAGAGGGGAAGGGGGAGCTACCAAGGTGGCTCCTGCAGTACCCGGCCGCTCGTTAAGTCTTGGGAGCTTATATACGTTCGGGCCAGCCAGGTCCCACTGACACCATGCAACCGGGTTCCCAGGTCTATGCATCGCAAGTCCACATCCTGAGATGGCAATGGAAACGAGTCTGGTTACTGAGGGGCTCCTGAGTGACGGCAGGAAGGGTGCTGGGGTTCGCTGGAGGTGTGTGAATGTCATGGGTGCTAGGGGAAGGAGGGCTGCTAGGTGAAAGAAGCTAAGCACCAAGGGTGGACCAAGGGTTGCCAGTCTTCGAGGCCAGGAGAAGGCGTCCGAGAACAGGTTTGTACGTGCAGGCGAGGAACAGGGGGTGTGTGCAGAAGGGGCCGGGTGTGTGTGTGTGGAGAGCTGAGGAGTGAAAAATGAGACACTGCCGTAGTGCTGCCCGGGGCCGGATCCAATCTTGACTGAAGATGAGAGCCGGGACGGGAGCCAGGGGGTGGGCACTGCCAGGTGGGGCTGGGGCGGGAGGATGGGGTCTGTTAGAGTTGTGATCGAGTGCAGGACTGGAGAGGCCCTGCCCCGGCCAGGCGGGGAGGGAGGGGGCTGTGGCCAGGGGCTCGAAGCACCCGCAGAGGAACAAGTCTCACTCTACTCCTGGGGGTATAGCATTCCACACTCATCCGAGAGGGCAGGGCTCCCGCACTAGCGGGAGGGGGAGTCTGTCTGTCTGTCCGGCACCAGTCGCAGGCGAGCTGCGGGCCAGGCTGGGCCGGGGCGGGCGGCGACAGGGCCCAGAACTCCTGGGGGGGGGGGAACC